GGAGCAAGGACGCTACTAGGAGCAAAGGGCATCGCTACTAGGAGCAAAGGACGCGTAATTACATGGCAGGCATCTCCATAGTCCATAGTTTTGCAGGCGACTTCTTGTCCTCCATCGACGTGAATGTCAAAGGTGTGGCTGCTGCCACCCATGCCTTCGGCAAGCAATTGAAAGCACGAGGCACCCGTCAGACTGATGTTTCTTGCTGTGTGCTGTTGGTAAGTCACAAGCACACATCCATGGGAGAGATGTTCAGATTCCCAAAATTTCAACCAAGATTGATGTGAATCCTTCGACTGCTGCAGGCGTTCCAGGTGGCGTTGTGCTGATGTCATCGATGGTGGGCGAAATAGGAGCTGCTGGGTCGTGGGAGTACCCCCTGATGATAAGGAGCAGTGATGGATCCGAGATTCATTCTTACACACAGCACATCATGATATGGCAGATCCTGTGTGTGCCCATTCAATGAAAGCAGAGGCAACAACTAGATGCTATATGGGCCGCGATCGATTGCCGGACACGTACAAGTACAATCAAATACATACATGTTTGATCATGTTTGCACTTAGAATGATGGAATCATTGCAGGATCTGCTTTTGTTGCAAACTATGCTGCAACGAAGGCTGGCTGATAGTATTGAAAAGGCCTCTCTGGGCAGTGCTGGCTTGGATGTGCCGTGTTTCTAAAATGCTGAGCAGGTTGCCTTCAAGTGTCACGTGAGCACCCCAAAGGTTGCCGATTGCACTTCTCGTGGAAACCGAACCAGGCCCAGGTAGCCTTTTTATGGCCTCAAGTGGCAGATTACATGACCACGGCAAAACCCCACCGCATAGTGTTCCAGTTTGTTCGAGTGCAGCTCCCTGCGGACGAGCACAGGCGTACATCACCACCTTGGCCGAGGGCCTCTACGACGAATGGTGGTCGCAAGGCGTCTGACAGCGGTGAGAACGGTGATCCGTGTGGATGTGACTTCAGTATCATTAGACCAAGCTCCTTCAGGGTTCGCAAAAAGGGTTCCCTCAGCTCTAGCCATCTCTGTTGTCTATTTTGTGTGTTGACCAGCAGCAGGTTTGGAGGGTAGCCTATGTTTTCAGCCATGGCCGAGGTGAATTTCGAATTGGACGCGTCGCTTTGGATGTTCTTTTTGGGAGTCCTCCATGTCCCAAAAAGAGGGTTCGTGCTGAAGGGTCCTGAAGCGTCCCACTGGGTTGCCTGCTTGTTGGAGCATCCTTGGATGAATCCACTCCGGTCGGCAACCAAAGGCCTTGATGCCTTGGCCTGTGTGGCTGGAGCGACCATCACCCCGACCTATTTGAGCAGCTTCTCCGTGCCGTGGCGAAGGGTTGCAGCGCTCCCGCGGCCGACGGCCGGCGCGGGGGGTGGGGCGCAGCGCGCTCCCGCGGCCGAGGTGGGGGAAAGAGGTTTCGGTGCCTGGAAGGAAGTGAAAAGCTCCTGCAACGTTTGTTATCAGTTGTTCCTTTTTGAGCACCAACAAAAGATGGGAGCACATGTGGGATCGCAGTTGCTTTCGCGCCAACTGGGAGACTAGAGAAACACTTCTTTCTGAATTTCTGAAGGTGAAAATGGATGTTGATAAGAAGCTACGAACGTGGCTCCTGGCATCGCTACGAATGGAGCAAGGGCTACGAACGGGGCTCCTGGCCTCTTGTTCGCTTGTTCGTGGCCCCAACGACGTGGTCTGGGGTTTACCAATGCCGTGCCAATCTTAGGACACTGGAGCCCGTGTGTCCTGGATAGAGCAGGACGGAACGGTGAGCTGGTGGGGCAAGCGGACGCTGGTGGTGGCCACTCTATCATCCTGTATCTGGGGCAACAGATGATCAAAAGATAAAGCAAATGCAGCAAATTGCAGGTAGCTACTTCATGTGGTTACATATTACACATAATTACATTTTTGTATACAATAATTTCCTGTTTGTTGCAAACTGGGGCTTTGAGGATTTGAGTCATCGTGCCCGTTTCACCCTTGCCCATGCCAAACGGGTCAGGTGTCGGCCTGTCGTGCCAACGCCAGGAGCCTTTTGAAGTGGTGTCTGAGTGCCTGGCCAACCTGGGGAGGCGCAGAGAGATCAAAGAACATCATGAGTCATAGCTGACCGTTGATATATATATATATATATTAAGTACCCCCTCTGCAAAGGTGATGATTGGGACATTCTTTCTCTTCAGCTGTTTAATCAATCAGGTAGAGAAGCATTTCTACAATCAGAATCTACGTTTTTCCATGTTTTTCCTAAACGAACGCGGCAGCTCGACATCTGCGACACGAAGGACTTCAGCCGTGGCAACTGGAGCGCTGAACAAAGTGATCCTCCTGATCTTTACGCGATTACTTCCTCGCACGGTCGCGACGCAGGCAGCTGGCCAAGATGCTGTAGGATCTGTTGACCTACTACGTACCGGTTGATACGGTTGAACAACCCATGCAAACAACCCAGAGAAAAAAACGATCGGCTTGATACATCAATTAAGTTTGTCTGTGTGTGTTTGACTACTACATGCATTGTATTGAACCTGGATGTTTCTCACTTTGTGAAGCTGCAATGTCGCCAATCATTCCTTGGTCAATTTGCTCTCACTTTCTAATTGCATGCAAGGTAACGCAGGCTGGCTTCTCAAAATTCCTTTGTTGTGTTGGCACACTGGAGATTTGGAAGATCCATTCCTGTCCAATCCACGTATCTCCTTTGTGCGTATTGCAGATCTTTGGCCACCAAACCAGCAAGATGCTTGGCATTGCGTGAGGCCAAGCATTTGAATCCTCACAATGGATGCATTGACTGAATCAAACACTTCGACGTTTGTTTCAGAACGTTAGTACAACCACAAGCCTTGGGTGCCATGTTGCAAAAACATTGCGTGTCGTCGCCAGGTTGCTGACAACATGTTGGCAGAGCATAGACAGGGGCGTGTGGAAAAAGGGATGACGGGGACACAGTTGAGAGGCAAATGGAAAGTCACTTGCATTCTGCGAGCGATTGATCCCCAACTTTGTGGGCTTCCGGATTTTGAAGCCCCGCCACCATCACCACCATAACCTCAAAATTAGCATCTAGATTCTTGAAGACTTTGCCTGGACCGCAGCAGAAGCTACTTCTCTTGTGGAGCTTCTTCTGTGCAGCAAAGTGGTCCAGCAAAAATCGCCGTGGCAGTCTCCCCACAAACGTAGAGTGTGAAAGGTTTGAATTCCAGTTGTGACGTTGGCCCACCTCATCAGGACCATTCACTTCCCATCCACGTGCCAAAACTTGCTATTTTGCTAGCCTCCAACCTACGAGCGATGGCCTCCAGCCTAGTAGCGATGGCCTCCATCCCATGGCTTTGAAGTCGTTCCATGTGCTTTGATGTCGTTCCATGCTGCGGAGCTGGAGCTTTACGGCGACTACTACGCTCGGCTGGGCGGCGAGG